CCGGCTCCGCCAGAGGAACGCCCCAGGGAGGGAGACCAATGAACCCACCGGGCAGCTGGGCCAGCAGCCGAGCTGGGGTGGCTGTTCTGGCACCTCCAGGGGGCCTCGGTGGCATCTCCCGTGCCAGGTGGGGTGTTGGCCCCCCCCGTGCTGGGGCGGCAACCGGCTGGGCAGCTGGTGGCAGTTCGTGGAGCTGCCCCAGCACACAGGGGAGCCCTGTGTGCTGGAGTGGGGAGCAGGACACACTGCAGGGGCACTTTCTTGCTTTAAGGAGCTGGAAATCAGCCCAAGATCCTCTTGCCGTGGAGTGGGACGGGGCGGAGGGGGAGAAGGGGTAACAGGAGGGTGGGCACTGGGGACAGACTGGTCCTTGGCAGGTTCCAAAGGGGACCAGCTGCACCCGAGCATCTCGAACCCTTTGTGCCCACAGGGAGTGTGCAGTCTGCCAAAGGGGAGGCCAGTGATGAAGATGAAGAGACGGAGTATTTTGATGCCATGGAGGATGCACCAGCGTTTATCACTGTAACCGCAGACCCCAAGCACCACAGGTACCAGCCTCTGCCCCAGGGCCACAGGCTGCAGGGTGCACTCCAGGGGGACCTGCTGTGAGTGTGGGAGGAGCTGGGGGAGGATCTCCCTTGTGCTGTGCTTGGACTTGTCAGCAGCATCCTCTCCCACGGGGTTACTCTGCCTGCACATCCCAGGGCTCTGTCCTGCACTCGTCCTGCACCCATCCTGCACCCACCTTGCCTTCCCAGAGGGGGTGAGGCTGAGGGTGGCCCCGACTGTAGCAGAGCTGTGGGGACCTGGTCAATGCTGGTCAGTAACTGAAGGGTGGGGGGCAAGAGGCTGGGGCCAGACTCTGGTCAGTGGTGCCCAGTGACAGGACAAGGGGCAACGGACACCAACTGGACCCCAGGAGGTTCCATCTGACCAGGAGGAGAAAATTCTCTGCTGTGAGGGTGGCCGAGCCTGGAGCAGCTGCCCAGAGAGGCTGTGGAGTCTCCTGCTCTGGAAAGATTCCAAACCCACCTGGCTGTGACCCTGGGCACTCTGTCTGGATGTGAGCAGGGCATCTGTCTGGGCTGGAGGCTCCTGTGGTGTGAACCTCGGTCACATCGCTGGGCTCTCTGCCCCCAGGCTGGGTGGGACACCCCATGCTGAGTGTCCCCTCTCTGTCACCCTGCTGCCTCCCCAGCAGCCCCCTGGGGTGGGGCAGGGAGACTCTCTGGGTGATGCTGGCTGTGCTGCACCAGCCCCAGGTGTCGCCCCCCCTTTCTCTGCCCTTTCCTGTCCTCAGCAGCTGGTTCTTCTTCCCCGCAGGCGTTCGGGCAGTAACCTGAGCGGGGCCAGCGAGGGCCACCCCGAGGACTGGAACCTGGAGGACAGTGTGAGTTGGCTGGGCAGGGTGGGAGGGATGGTCCTGGCAGGGGGAAGCCAGGGGAGAGGAGCAGGAGAAGAGGAGGCTGTCAGAGGGACTCCACTCAGGTCCCTCCCGTGCCTCCAGGGTGGAGCAGAGTTGGTTGCCCAGCCATGGGCTGGGGACAGATGTCAGCAGTCTTACAGCAGCACCCCAAGCAGGACACTGGTGGGGGACAGTTGCTCCTTCCTTCCACCATGCCTTGGAGCTCATGGTTCCAGTGGTGCTCCGCAGCACGAGCACACACAGTGTCTCCTGAGCTGTGGTTCACAGAGTTGTTTAGGTTGGAAAAGACCTTTAAGATCATCGAGTCCAACCACTGATGCCAAGTCCACTGCTAAACCATGTCCCTGAGCACCACATCTGCTCAACTTCTGAGTACACCCAGGGATGGGGATTCAGCCACTGCCCTGGGCAGCCTGTTCCAGTGCTTGAGAACCTTTTCAGTAAGAAATTGTTCCTCATGTCCAACCTAAGCCTCCCCTGGGGCAACTTGAGGCCATTTCCTCCTGTCCTATCACTGGTTACTTGGGAGAAGAAACCAACCCCCACTTCTTTAGAACCTCCTCTCAGGGAACTGTAGAGAGTCAGGTCTCCCCTCAGCCTCCTCCAGGCTCAGCACCCCCAGGTCCCTCAGCTGCTCCTCACAATCATGTTCCCCAGACCCCTCCCCAGCTTCGTTGCCCTTCTCTGGACCTGCTCCAGCACCTCGATATCTTTCTTGTATTGTCTTCTAAAACTGAAGCCAGTACTCAAGGGGCAGCCTATTTAAGTTGTATTTAAATATAATTTTTTCTTTGATGGGTTTGAGCTAGTAACATTTAAGAAAACCCAAATGATCCTTTCTTTTCCCAAAGGAGACACTAAACCAGAAACTAACTAAATCACTTTTGTGCTCAGATTTAATCTGACAAGTTTAAGCCTCAAATGATTTTACTTTGAATGCACAAATTGCAAATCCACGGGGGGAAAAAAAAAAGTAATTCTCAAGCAGTTGCTGTGGAGAATCCAACAACAGTTGTGGATACTTAACTTTTGGGCAAATGACTGTAAATTAGAGCATCTTGGAAAGGCATCAAAATGACTTTGGGCCTGACTTTCTCTTCAGTCAGGACACCAGGCAAGACTATCTGTTAATCTCACCTACATAGTTTGTCATTTCCTTTAGATTATCACTGCTCCTGGCTCTGGCTGGGTCACGCTGGGCCAGCCTGGCTCTGACCTGTGCTTCTTCTGTTGCTTCCACAGGTCTTTGAAAGTTCAAATCAGAGCAGCTACAATGAGTCCACCTGCAAAGATCTCCTGCCAAAGAAGAGGAGACGGACTCGCATCCCTGACAAACCCAACTACAGCCTTAACCTCTGGAGCATCATGAAGAACTGCATTGGCAAAGAGCTCTCCAAGATCCCCATGCCCGTAAGTGCCGTGCCCCAGGTCCCCATGCCCATAAGTGACGTGCCCGAGACGTGTCCAAGTGGGACAGGAGCATGGCAGCAGCTGCCAACCCCGTGCTGAGGCACTGGCAGAACCCTCTGAAGCCACCTTGCTCCTGTCCCCAGCCCTGCTCCATGGCACTGATGTGTCCTTGCTGCTCTGCTCTGCTGCCTCTGAGTCCTGCCTTTATTCCCTGCCATTTATTCCCCCCTGGAATCACAGCTCTGCTGCCAGGCAGGAGGGGCCTGTGCTCTGCAGCTAATTGTAGCAGTGCTAATTGCTTTGTGGCTGTGACATCGGGCTGTGAAATGGATCTGCTCTTTCTTTGGGACTGATCTGTTCAGAGAGCCCTGGCAGCCTGTTCCTGCTGGTCCCAGGGCGAGCTGGAGCCAAGGGGACATTGCCCAGGTGTGTATCCCACTGTTGCAGAGGCAAGGAGGGGACCAGGACACCTTGAATTCCTTGAGGATTCGAGCGTTTCACCCAGAAACTAGATGAGACCTTGTTGCTGATGGTGCTTTCCCCAGCATGTCTCCAGGGACAGGGTGCTCTGACAGCACCCCAGGGCCCTGGTTTACCCCAGGGACCCACAGGACCTTTATTTTCCTTGCAAAGAGCAGCTTTTTGGTGAAGGTGACGTTGTGGGGACAGTTTACAGCACTGCAGGGTGCTGCTGGGTTCAGTCCTTGGGGTGAAGGCTTCCCCTGGATGCTCAGCAGAGGGTTTGGTGGTGGGGTCTGCCTGGAGGAACCCCTCGCAAGGGCTGCCATGGGGGGTAAGAGGGATGTGCATTTAATTCCTCCAGGTAAATAACCCTGTGCCTTGGATATCTGGATAAAATTCTGCTCATGCCAGAGCTCCTCCCAGACTACAGCCATTCCTTGCAGAGCCAACCAGCCCTTTTCAGGCTGCCAGTATCTCAAGCAGGTCTTGACCAGTAAGCAGCATGGATGGGACTGGGTGTAAGGAATCTGTTTTCCCAACCCTCCTGGTAAACTTGAGAGAGGTGTAAAACAGCCAGGGGTGACCGGGGGTTATTGTGGCCCTGGCTGGAGTGGTGGTAGCCCAGCAAAGGGTGATCTGTAGCCCTGGAGCCATGTTTGGGGTCCCTGCTTTGCTGGGTAGAGGGGAAGATCCTGTTCCAGGGGTCTGGATGCTGAACTGATGACGTTTTGTGTCTTCCCAAAGTGGTGCCTGCACCTTGCCCAGTAAGAGAGGTGCGTTTGTTTCCTCAGTGCTATTTTGAGATGAGATACACAGCCCAGTGCAACCATTGGCATTCTGCAGCAGCACCGGTGTCAGATAGAGGGTACAGAAATGAGCAGCTCCTGGGGCCCGGAGAGAGGAAGTTTATAGCTTCCCAATCAATCCAGTCATCCCAGGAGCTGCTGAAGACGAGGCCAAGCCTGGCAGCAGCATGTCCTGCTCACACAGCAGCCCCCAATGCTGACCTGGGGGGCTGCAATTACTCCACCCTGGGTGAGCCAATCTGGTTTCCCAGCACTGCTGCCTCTGTCAACTGCTCAGCAGAGCTGGGGGTTACAAAGGAGGGGGGTGGGGGGGGCTCAACCCCGCGTCGACCGCCCGCTGGATCCACAGGACCAGGGAGGGGTTTGCAGCCCATGAGCTCAGCTGCTTCTCTGGGAGCTTGGCCCCAAGAGTGGGCCACGGGGAGCAGCTGAACTCCCTTCCAGCAGCCCTTCAGATCCTCTCTCCGTGGTACGTGCACTCAGCTCTGTGGATGGAGGTGGAGCTCCCCATCTCTCCAGCTCCCCATCTCCCTAGCTGACCTCGTGGTAAATGGAGTGTAGGAGCAGGAGGGAGGATTGGAAGCAGAGCAGCCAGCTCAGAGGGACGCTTGGAGTCGTGGTTCATTGCAGCTCAGATCTGCTGAGCCCGTTGTGCACACCAAGCACAAAATGTTTCTCCTTCACAGAACCATAGAATCAGAGAACTGGAAAGGACCTCTAGGATCAAGTCCAACCTCCATCCCAACATCTCCCTAACCCCTAGAGCACAGCCTCAAGTGCTACTTCTGCTCATTTTTTGAACCCTTCCAGGGATGGTGACTCCAGCACCTCCCTGGGCAGCCCCTTCCAGTGTCTAACCACTCTGTCACGGAAGAAATTCTTCCTAAATCAAAACCTCCCTTGGTGCAACTTGAGGCCATTTCCTCTTGTCTTATCATCAGTAATTTGGGAGAAGAGACCAACACCAGCCTCACTCCAACCTCCTTTTAGGTAGTTGTAGAGAGCAATAAGGTCTCCTCTCAGTCTCCTGCCTTTTTGTGTGGATGTGCTGCTGCCTGTTTTACACAGCTCCTGCTTGCTGCAGCATCCTGCTGCTCACAGGCCAAATCCCCCAGTGCAGCAGTCTGGAGTTAATTTTCTTTAGTATGAAATATCCAACTCCAATTGTAGAAGAGGTTCTTCCATTCTTCAGCCATCTGCTTCTTCTAAAATACATTTCTTTGCTCTGAGCTGGAAATAAAAAGTGAGCTTCACGTGGTTTTGAGGCAAAAAGCCTATTGAGACAAAGGATCTCCATCTCCCTTCCTGTTTGTATGCCAGTTCTTTCCAGAACAAACTGCCAAAATCAGCTGTTTGGTTTTTTCCAGAGATGTTTGCAGCCTGTCCTTCCTCACAACGTACAAGTTTTCTCACTGACAAGGCAATGGCTTGGGGGTGGAGGTGTGACCTTGGGGCTACCCTGGGACAGGCTTCCCCCTGCAGCCTCTGCCCCGCTGCTGCCACTGTCTGCAGCTCACACGTGGCTCGGGTGCTGCCGTGGGGCTGCACTCCCTGGAGCTTGGAGACCCTGAAATGGGGCCTTTTGAGGTTTTCTGAGCAAGTGGGCTGCAGCCCAGCATGGGGGTGGCTTTGCCATGGGTTGATGTGGGACGTGGCCTCTTGCTGGTGGCTGGTGGGATGCTGGGTGAGAGGCAGGAGGGAGCTGGGTTCAATGCTGAGCCTGTCTTTGGGGTCACTGGAGCTCCATCACCAGAGAGAGGTGATACCTGAAGTGATATCTGGTTAGCTTATGGGGGTTACCTGCTCCTGGGGAGGAATAACCCCTTGCACCAGCACAGGTGAGGGGCTGACCTGCTGGGAAGCAGCTCTGCAGAGAAAGATCTGGGAGTGTGGAGAAGAACTAATTGCCAGTGAGCCAGCAATGGGCCCTCATGGCTGAGAAGGCCAATGGTCACCTGGGGGG